TTTCAAGAACATCATAAAGGAGCAAGCCCATTTACGATATCTTGAAAAAGAACAAGAAATTTTAGTGGAAGGAGGAACATGAAATAGCCTTCCAGGAACTCAAAACATATCTAAGATTTGCTCCACTACTAGTGAAACCTATAGATGGATAACCACTTATTCTCTACCTCTCAGTATCCTCAAACAAGGTAAGTGTCGTTCTGGTCAAGGATCTTAACGGAGAGCAACATCCTATCTACTATGCAAGTAAACGTCTCTTGGATCCTAAAACCAGGTACTCTCATCTCGAAAAAATAATTCTTGCCTTAGTAACTACTTCTACCAAATTAAGACACTACTTTGAAACACACACTATACATGTAAAAACTAACTATCCTCTCAAGAATGGCATGAGAAAACCAGAAATGTTAGGAAGGATGGAAAAATGGTCGGTGAAGTTAAGCACATTTGACATCAGATAAGAACCAAGATCCGCCATAAAATCACAAGCATTAGTGGACTTTGTGGCTGACTTTAGTAATGATCTACAAAATGAAGTAGACATGGAAGCCAAGTGTAACATCCCAAAAAAAATGACCCAAAAATTTTTCTTGAATAATTACTAAAAACACCATAAGAAAATCATAAGGTAAACTCGTACGTTAATATCTCACAAACAATAGTAAAGTGTTATAAGTAAAATGAATCAAGAATGTATTAGTCGCATCTATGAGAAACAAAACAACTCCCAGGACAACTGATGATGTGGTGTGTGTGTGCGATGCCATCAACTCGAGCTCTTCCCTTTGCTTGCAGAAGTACCTAAAACCAAAACTGAAACTGTAAGCACGAAGCTTAGTGAGCTCCCCCAAACTACCACATACCATATAATACATATAATCACATATTGGGCCTTGCCCACTGCATCGGACCGAAGTCCGGAAACTGCATCGGACCAAAGTCCGGAACTAACCAGGGCCTTGCCCTCTGCATCGGATCGGAATTCGGAACTGACTGCATCGGACAGAAGTCCAGAACATACTGAACATAGCATCACATAAGCATATCAACTAACATGAGTACATACATAGCATACTACATTGGGATGTAACCCGGAACACATAACACCAAATACTGTCTGAACCACGAAGGCATCAAACATACTAAAATCTGCATCGAACCGAAGTCCGGATACTACTGCTAGCTAAATGGGCCGGCATTGTGGCCTTAGACCCGTTCCTACTGAAAGGAAACTCACCTCGTCATCTGGCTGCTGAGTGTGTGGCTCCGGGAACTATCTGCTACTGCTCCGGTATCTCCCCAGCTACAAATCCACAATTACACTCAATCAAATTATTAATAACTGTATTGGGGTAAATGACTCCTTTACCCCTGGCTAAAGTCAACTCTCCTGATCAAAGTCAACTTTACACTTGACCTGACTCGCCGAGTTGGGCCGCCAACTCGCCGAGTCCCTACTCTCATTTCTCACCCTATTCGCTACTACTCGTCGAGTATGGCATCAACTCGACGAGTTCCCTTTCGAATCTAAAACCTCAGGCAATCTGCATCAGACTCGCCGAGCCGTATGAACAACTCGACGAATTGTTCTTCGAGCTAAAAAGATTGCCTTGGACTCCCCGAGTTGTATGAACAACTCGTCGAGTCCCTCCATTACAGAGTCTAACCACAACTCACTGAGTCCACTCCATCACTCACTGGTCTCACTCGGCATCACTCAAAAAGGGAAAAATTGGGGACTCGCGGCTCGACTCGCCGAGTCGTTCTTCCGACTCGCCGAGTCGCTTGCATGCAGCAACTCAAAACTTGATTTTGCTTGAATCAAGTGCATAAAACTTATAGATCTGAACTCCCTTAACTCGATTATCACGTAAAGATTCTATCTTTACGTGCCCATATGCATTCATGAAGATAAAATGGCTCAAAAAGCATAATAAAGGCTAGATCTAGGGTTTCCATGCAAAGTATCTTCATAAAGGCAATAGATCTGGGCTCTGAAACTTCTCAAAGAATAGATCTAAGGATATCTCGACTTATTAGGGCATCCATACAATCATAAGGCTTGGGAAAAGCATCAACTAGATCTAGAAGAGTTCTAATGGAGGTTTAAAGCATAAAACAAGAGGGAATCCGAAGAATACCTCAAAGAACTCTGATTTTCCCTTGGATCTTTGCACTACTCCTCTTCTCCTTGCTCCTTTCTTCTTCTCTTTCTTCAAGCCTTCACAAATCAACACAAGAACACTTAGTTTACTCAAGGATGGATTAGGGTTTTCTCACAGCGTTCTGAGGGTGAAGGAGGCGAGAATGGGGGCTATAAGGTGGATTAAATAGTGAGCAACCCGGAGATTTAGGGTTTCAACCTGGCAGGCCGACTCGTCGAGTCCCGAATATGGACTCGTCGAGTCGCCGATCTATACGCTGATCAACAACGCGGCCCTACTCAACGAGTCGGGACATAGACTCGTCGAGTTCCTCCACGAACTTCAAAAATAAATACTAAAAAAACCACATACCAGAGACGGGTCGTTACACCAAGCGACTCCTAGAAGATGAACACTTGGGAAGATGGACGTTGTTCATAGATGGAGCTTCAAATCAGAAAGGAACAGGCCTTGGGATCATACTAAAGTTGCCACAGGGGGACATCGTACACCAGGCAATTAGTTGTGAATTCAACACTACCAACAACGAAGAAGAATACGAAGCACTCATCATAAAACTACAATTAGCTAAGGATCTTCAAGTATTTGTTGATTCTTTGTTACTAACCAATCACCACAATGGATCTTATGGAGTGAAAAGTGAAGAATTATTGTTATACCAAGAGATATGGCTGTGCAAAAAACCGCACAAACCGCACAAACCGCCCACACCGCACCAAACCGCACCGCATAATGCGGTTTAGAATTTCGTGGTGCGGTTTGCGGTTCATCATTTTATCAAACCGCACTATGCGGTGTGGTTTGCGGTTTGTGTTTATAAAACTGCGGTTTAAACCGCACCGCACCGCATGTTATATATATACTTTTTTTTCTTTATTTTGTTATAACTTCAAATCACAATTTAGAAATGATGTATATTAATATATTTCTTACAATAACCAAATATCTATAATGTAACATTAAATCACTATTAGATCAAGATCTCATGGTTTACAAGAATATATCAATTATAACGACAATATAAAGCAATAACAATGATACTTACAAAACTATAATAACATGAGTCACAATTTATTAAAAACGATTTAACTCGAAAATTGTATTTGTTTTTATAAAATGAAAGGAATCAGTTTTTTTAACCGGGCCAGGTTTTTGGTTTTTTGATAGATTTAATCTTAAACAACTGATCAAACCACACAAACCACAACTAAACCGCCCGCATCAAACCGCACCGCGTCATGCAGTTTTGAACATCTGTGGTGCGGTTTGCGGTTTCTAAAATATTCAAACCACATATGCGGTGCGGTTTGCGGTTTTGACTCGAAACCGCACCAAACCGCACCGCGCACACCCCTACCTAGAGATCCTCAAAAAATTAGCTTCTGATCTCAAAAACTTTAGCCTGACCCAAGTTCCCAAAGAGGAAAACACAGAAGCAGATACACTGGCCAATTTAGGATCCTCCCTTAGGATCCCACCAGAGACAAAGATTCCTATAACTCACATAATAAACCCATCCATAGAAACCATCTCCGACAAGTTAGAAGATCCTAAGCGTCCGACAAGCATAACAACTATTGAAGATCCTGACCCTAGGATCCTTAATCCAAGAGATCTCGACGAACAGGATCATCAAAGAAGTCCGCAATCATGGATCCAACCTACTATGGAATATCTCCAAAATGGCATATTCCCAACAGGAGAAAAAAGTGAATGAGCATTCAAGACGAGAGTCTCAAGATTCGTGTTAATAAAAGGTAAACTTTACAAAAAATCTATGGTAAGTCCATACCTAAGATGCTTAGAAGATCCTAAAGCTGCAGAAGTTTTCAAGGATATACACGAAGGATATTATGGCAATCACACCGGGAGCAAATCCTTATGCCCCAAAATATTGAGAACATGATACTAATGGCCAACCATGAAGAAAGACTCCTTTCTACATACTAAAAAAATGTGATGCTTGCCAAAGACACAACAACTTCGTGCACCAACTGGTAGAACCTCTACATCCTATTATCTCCCCATGTCCATTCATTGAAATGGGGGATAGATATTGTAGGAAAATTTCCAGTAGCCCCAGGAGGAAAAGTCTTTATGTTGGTGATGATTGATTACTTCTCCAAATGGATCGAAGCTGAAGCTTCCATCCAGGTAAGAGATAAAGAGGTAGTATCGTTTATTAAACGTAATATCTTGACCAGGTTCGGGATCCCGGCTGAGATCATATGCGACAATGGATCCCAATTTATTAGCAAAAGAACAAGAGACTTTTGCATAACCTGGGGGATCAAAATGATAATGTCCATTCCTGTTCATCCCCAAGCTAATGGTTAAGCGGAGTCCAGCAACAAAATCATAGTCAACAATTTGAAGAAAAGGATGGACGAAAAGAAGGGAAAATGGGCAAAAGAACTTCCTTTCATTTTATGGGCAGATAGAGCCACTTCCAAAGTGGCCATAGGTTAGTCCCCCTATTCCTTGGTGTTTGGGATAGAAGCAGTAATCCCTACTGAAGTAGCAATCCCAACGGCAAGGTACTTGCTGCAAGACCAAAAAAATAATGCCTGGATCCTAGCACAGGATCTTGACATTATTGACGAGCTTAGGGATCTTGCCAAAATACGCATCACTACTCATCAACAAAGAATCACCAACTCTTACAATAGGAATATAAGGGTCAAAAGGTTTCAAATAGGAGGCTTGGTATTAAGGAAGACATTCCAAAACACCAAGGTGTTTTTACTCCTGATTCTCCACAAACAAGGAAGTGAAAAGCAATAAAATCTATGCAACGGTTTGAATAAGCTTAAGCTTACTATTGTTGAGGAAAAAATGGAGAATGTGATGGTAGAAACAAATGTAGATAGTGAAGACATAAATTATGTAATGGATGGTTCTTTTCGTATCTCACCAAGGAAGGATACCTCTATCAAATCGACTTTCAATGAGACAAGTATTCCTGATGTCAATGCAAATGTATCTAATACGGATGCAAACATCAATTCTGGTGAACAACCAAGTACCTCACTTCCTTATCAGAAGAAAGTCACACCACCCGAAGTTTTGCATTCCAAGTCCAATATGGAGGAGGACGAAACTTCAAACATCAATGTGAAGTTATCTGATAAGGACAAAAATGTTACTATGGGTGATGGGGGTTCGATAACTACAATTGATACTTCTACTATTCCACCACCACCTACTTCACCACCACAAACATCTACCATTCCAACATCTATTGCAATTGTTTCTCCAACTTTTGAAGGAGTGATGCAAGAGCTAGTTGCAGCTTTATTTTCATCACAATCCACAGATATTTTTCATGAAGAAGAAGAAAAAAATGATGATGATGTAATGGTTGCTTTTGTTGATTTACAGTTCAATCCAGAAGACGAAGATGTGCCTGAAAATGCAATTATGTCAGGTAATCAATTCAAAATTCTAAAGTCAAAGATGAATTCGATTTTTGCAATTCTTGAACGATACTGCTAGAAAGTCCTATGTTAGTGGTGTTAACGTCAAATACCTCTTAAAGGCTCAGGAGTCTTGCACGCGAACTATTATTGAAAATATTGATAAAAGAAATGATGAGATTTTGGCAACGTATTCTCATACTTTTGATTTTTGAGATTTCAAAACTGAGAGATGTTACGAAAGAGTGTCGTGAACTTTTCGAGAAGATTGTGTTTGTTTCAAAATCCTATCTTAAGTTGAAAATTAAGGATCTTAGTGATTTATTTTCCAAAGAGGTTCAGATGCTTGATAACTTTTGTGTTTCATTGAATAAGAAAGTTGATGTGTTGGCTAATGCAACAACTCAACTGGTAGAAGACATTACAACTTTCAACAAGGATTATCCTGGTGATCTCAAGTTTAATTTTAAACAACATGCAAAAGTGTTTGAGAAGGTTGATAAGTATCTTTCTGACTTTCAAGAGAATTTTTCAAACGTTGTTCTCTCGTCTCCATCTTCAATTTCTAAAGAATCCATTTCAGCTATGGTTTCGACCGTTGAGTCCAATTTTAAGTTAGAATTGGCTCATATCCTTGACATGGTTCTTCGACCACCAACAAATGCTCCATGTCTTGTACATGTCTTGCAAGGGGGGAAAATAGGGTTGGTTCTTCCAAGGGAACTGGCAAAGATAAAGGTGCGGTTGTGGGAGGATTATGTCTACTCAGATACCCACATCGATTCCTATGAAACCAATAATGTCAACAACAACAACAACATTAATCACGAATGCTCCTCATGTTAATGTTGACTTATTAAAATTACAAAAAAAAAAAGAATTTTGTTGGTGAGGGAGGTTTGAGTTCTGCAATCGCCAATACAACAACAACAGTCAATCCCAAAGATAAAGGAAAAACATTCAAGTTGAACCTTCCACAGAAGAAAAGAAAAGGTTGCAACATATAGAATTTGAGAGGCAAAGACAAGTGAATAGCATTCTGAATCAATGGGTGAATGATCCTCCTGGATTGAACAATGGTGATCCAAATAAAGCCTACTTTTATGAAACTATCGAAATTGCTTTACTTGATAAAGTGGAAGAATTTATGAAGAAGCCAAAGAAAAGCTATGACATCGAAAACACCAACATTAATCAGCTTGATTTTCTGATAAATCATCTGATGTTTACTTTCAGTCAGTTCAAACTTCCTAAAAGTTTCAAGGACAAGGAAGAATTCAAAAAGTTAAAGATTTGCTTCTATGCAGTTTTGGGAAAAAGTGAAGAAGAATTTTAGTCCCTAGTAAAAATCGTGAAGGTTATTTTGATTGTTCCAAATGTGCTTTTTGAGGAGTTGATGCAGAACTTTCGATACTCAGTTGTTCGAGCTAACAATGTGGTTTTGAGTTCACAATTGCAGATTTTCCATTGATGAATCTCAATGATCTCATCACAATGTCGAAGATCTTATGTACTGTGGATACTTCTGAAGTTGTTGAAGAATATCGTCACGCGTTCATTCTTGGATATGTTCATATCAAGGCCTTCATTGATTGCTACTATGATTATATTGTTATAACATATATAGATCTTTCCATGGCAGTCAACAAAACTTCAAAGGTACCAAAATCGTTGTTAAAAGGGAAGCTCAACATCGAGAAGCTTGAAGATGGAGAAATAATCCATTATCCATTTGGTGTTGTTTTCCAAAGAAAGAATAAAATAGGGAATTTAACAAAGTTCCTTTTACGAACGGATGATATTGAGAGGTACACGAACTCTCATTTTTTGAATATTTTACTTTACATCAGCAACTACAAAAGGAATGATAATGAATAAAAGGCGGAGGTTCGAAAAATCATTCTTTTGTATATTGAGATCAGAAAGAAACTGGTACAAACAATGAAGATACTGGCTTGATGATTTCGACTGTTCTCACAAAGGGGGGAGAATGTATAGTTGAAAGTTGTGAGAGTCGAAAGTAGTGTCTTTATGTTTGCATCTGTAAATAGCGAAAGTTTAAGTACTTTCGTTGTCTTTATCTATTTACAAGGCATATTAGAGTTTCGAATGCAACGTCTAGCCCTTTTATTTTTTGGTATTTAAGTACCCTATAAATAAAGTAAGTACTTAGAGGTTAGAGGAAGAACTTTATCAGATATTCTCATGTACTCGAAATCTCGTTGTATTATTCCAAACATATATTGAGCTAATAGATCTTATTTAGATCGATGTGTTCTTCTTTATTGCTTTTCTTAAAAGATTGATTCAAACGTTTTTCCAAATACTCTTCATATTCTTCAGTCCACCTTTTACAATCACAACAAATCTAAAAATTGTGTTTGACGTTTATGTTCTTGATGAAATAGATGGTTAGGAATTATATATATATATATATATATATATATATATATATATATATATATATATATATATATATATATAGGTTCATATGTGGATGATGTCACAACTAGAAATTTTTGTGCCTTGTAACTACAACACTTAAGTCAAATTACGAATCAAAGACATAAGAGCATGTATGATGCATACTCTATGACAACAAAATTTCAATCAAACACACCATGCAAGCATTTCAAGTAGTCAATAAGCAATTGGAAACCCTATAAGTTCTTATTTAAGTCGATTTTGGACTAGGACATCCTTATTGGGCCCAATGGACCAATAAGCTTCCAATTTGACCACCTTGGGCTTAGAACTCTTAAATGGGCTCTAATTGGACCCACTTCCATTTATTTCAATATTTTGGGTCATATTGGGCCTAGAATGAAATAAATTAATTATATGAACCATTTTGGGTCGTAATTAACCTAATTTAGCCCTAATAGGTCATAAGACTCATATTTATGATTATTTGGACCAAACATCACTTAACATAACCATGAAAAAGGCTTAAGCATACAAGGCCCAAATTCTTTTCTCTTCCTCTCTAATTCTCGGCCCAAGCCCAAAAGGAGAAGAAGAAGTTGACTTTTGCATGACACCTCATCTTTGCATGGAAGATATCTAGGTTATTACACTTCAAACATCGATGCCATCTCATGTTTTCATGCAACTCACTTCAAAAATCACTCTTCTCTCCTCTCTTTCTTGCTCTCGGCCGATTCCAAGCACACACACACAGACATTTCTCTCATAAATCTCTCAAGGAAACTCCCTCCACTCTTCATCAAGTTCTCAAAATTTAGAAGGTTTTTCAAGAAGATATTTCCACAAATTCTTCATCTAAGGTAAGATCATGCTTGGATCTATGATCTAGGTTCTTTGTTTTATCAAAAATCTCTTTCTAATCCATGCAAAAGCATGATCACTCTCTTAGAAACCCTCTAAGTTCGAAATCATCAAAGGAAGGATTGTTAGGGCCGAAAACAACATCAAGCTCCTTCCAATCTTCTTCAAAACCGAAACTACAACTCAAGGTGAGCTTCATACCCCTTTTCTTTCTGTTTTTATGAGTTTTTATGGGGGATAATACAAGCAAATGTGTAGATCTATGAGTAAATGTATGCTTTGTGTGATTTGATGCATGTTTGTGTGTAATATCATGTGTTGTGATGAATATGTTAGCCAAAAAGTACCTAAAAACCGAGATCTATGACATGAGGGATGAAATAAACATAACTTATACCATTTTGCACTAATAAAGTCAAGAAAAATAGTTCATTTGGTTAGGATGAACATAGTTGGACATAAAACCCATTTTTGGGCTTAAATTGTCAAAAATACAAAATTAAGGGCCCAAAACGACAAACTATAATTTCTGGAGGTTGAAAAGGGTCCAAACAGTTTCTGATACAATTTTTCTGAATATCAACATTTTTGAGGGGCTTAAAATGAAAATTTTGAACCTAATGGACTAAAATGGGCTTTTCCAATAAGCTCCAATTTGCGAAATTTTTAAATTTGAGGGGCTGGAAATGTAACTTTCTGTAAAACAGGAGATTTCAAGTGTCTTAAAACCATTTCAAAGGTCAAAAATGTTTTTCAAATTCAAAAGGGATCAAAAATGAAAAACTTTTCCATTTTGGGCCAAAACTGTAAAAGTTGCAAAAATGGGGGTTCCAACCGAGAAAACTTCATTTTTGAAGGAATTAAGCTGTTTACAAAGTAAATTTGGGCTGAAAATGTCTTTTCAATAAGTTATGGTACTAAAGTGTCAAGAAAAAAAAATGGTTTGAGGACTAAAATGGAAATTCTTTTATATAAAGAATTAAAAGTGCAAATTTTATCAAAGAAGGGTCGTGAAAAGCTAAAATCTTACTTTTAAACAAATAAACCCCTTAAGACAAAATACGAGATCCACGACTACCGGCGAAACATAATAACAAATACACTTTCAACATCAATATCCTTACCAAACGAATTGATTCGGTCTCGAATCAATAACAAATCAAAAATCAATAAACAATAGTACTTCAATAAACATGCGAAATCTACGAGGAGTCAATATTCAATCTTTGGGCTCGAAAGTTTCAAATCGTGCTTGTTGAGCCTTGCTAACCCAATAACATGATCTTTAGGCCCGAAGGGAACGCGCTTACATGTTATTGGGCCTTCTATGACCTAATTCCATGTAAAAGGACTTTCAATAGCTCTATTGTGATGTTGGGCCCCAAGGGTCCATTGGTACTGCTAATAAAGTCGAGAAGTCAAATGCGAGTCGGACCAAGTGCCTTTCGCATTCCCGATAGATTTGAACAACTTATGGAAATAAAGGGGGCTTCATACCCTCCTTTCTCCTCGGTTGTAGGGCTATGAGAAGTAAGGGTGGTTGAATTAAGTGAGTAGTACGGATGACGCCTAAAGGATCGTTTGTAATTGGTAGTTATAAACTAGTCATTTTCATTAATGCGTGATTATAACAACTCACAACCCATAATTAATCCAATGTCACCTGGGTAATCAAAAACAATCGTCGTATCGGTATAACAATAAATAAGACACGTAATTTTATGTATTGGGAAAACATCGGGTTTTCCCGGGGAGTTCAACACTTTTACTTATGTGATGTATACAAAGTTCAACAATTATACATGTTTACAAAAATTGACAAGCATACTTACGGATCTTCACACTTTTTTTTATAAACAATACTCTTTTCAGAAAATATCGGATTTTCTGGGTTTTTCAAACTTCACAGAAATCATTTTTCACAACATTACTTATGAACTCACCAACATTTCATATGTTGACGTTTTTCCAAAATACTTGTATTCTCAGGCAACAGGTAAACCGAAGAATAAGTACCAAGTGATGTCATGGTGTTTTGCTTAAATTTATTATCGAACGGTTTATGTTATGGATTTGTAATGTTTAAAACAATGTACCGAATGTAAACAATTCAGTTGTAATATTTCAATGCATGGTGATGAATGATGTTATGATTCATGTATAATCATTGTGATGGTATTCAATTAAGTCACAATAGCCCTCGGACGTTTCCGCCGTCTGGTTCGGGGGTGTGACAGATGAACATTTATTATGCGAACATGTAGATAGTGCTATTATGTGAGAATCACTAAGAGAATTTGTTGTTTGGTAATGTGAATACGTTCAACCTCACATAACTATTATTATTATCAGGCATTTTCATTAATTAAATTATCTATAAGGGTATGATCGACTTTTTTTTATGATTCTCATTCTGTAAAAATGTGTTCTTGATAATCTTATTATGTAAGAATAAGAATGGGTGAAAAAAGATGTGTGAGAACAAAAGTTAATAATATGTAAAAATGCATGATATGATGATACTTATGTAAGGTTGAACATATTAACATTATTAAACA